GAGCATGACCTCACCCTCTTAGCAACTTCATTTCACCCTAATCCGTACGTGATGGAGTTGCTGGTTGCCCGGCAACCAAAACCAGCGTCTCCATGGCAACTGTCCACGTGTGCAGTTACCCGCACGAGGCTGCCCCCCCACCCCCCCCCACTGTGAAGCCCTCGCGTCACTCTCCCCGGAGGGGGGGAGGGGGGGAGGGGGTTGTGAAACGCTCGCATTGATTGTAACACTCGGGACCTGCCTTCTTCATTGATTGTAACACTCAGGACCTGCCTTCTTCACTGATTGTGACACTCGGGGCCTGCCTTCTTCATTGATTGTGACACTCGGGACCTGTCTTCTTCACTGATTGTAACACTCGGGACCTGCCTTCTTCACTGATTGTGACACTCGGGACCTGCCTTCTTCATTGATTGTGACACTCGGGACCTGTCTTCTTCACTGATTGTACCACTCGGGACCTGCCTTCTTCACTGATTGTGACACTCGGGACCTGCCTTCTTCACTGATTGTGACACTCGGGACCTGCCTTCTTCACTGATTGTAACACTCGGGACCTGTCTTCTTCACTGATTGTGACACTCGGGACCTGCCTTCTTCATTGATTGTGACACTCGGGACCTGCCTTCTTCACTGATTGTGACACTCGGGACCTGCCTTCTTCACTGATTGTAACACTCGGGGCCTGCCTTATTCACTGATTGTGACACTCGGGACCTGTCTTCTTCACTGATTGTGACACTCGGGACCTGCCTTCTTCATTGATTGTGACACTCGGGACCTGTCTTCTTCACTGATTGTGACACTCGGGGCCTGCCTTCTTCACTGATTGTAACACTCGGGACCTGTCTTCTTCACTGATTGTGACACTCGGGACCTGCCTTCTTCATTGATTGTGACACTCGGGACCTGCCTTCTTCACTGATTGTGACACTCGGGACCTGCCTTCTTCACTGATTGTGACACTCGGGGCCTGCCTTCTTCACTGATTGTGACACTCGGGACCTGCCTTCTTCATTGATTGTAACACTCGGGACCTGCCTTCTTCACTGATTGTGACACTCGGGACCTGCCTTCTTCATTGATTGTAACACTCGGGGCCTGCCTTCTTCACTGATTGTGACACTCGGGACCTGTCTTCTTCATTGATTGTGACACTCGGGGCCTGCCTTCTTCACTGATTGTGACACTCGGGACCTGCCTTCTTCACTGATTGTGACACTCGGGGCTTGCCTTCTTCACTGATTGTGACACTCGGGGCCTGCCTTCTTCACTGATTGTGACACACGGGGCCTGCCTTCTTCACTGATTGTGACACTCGGGACCTGCCTTCTTCACTGATTGTGACACTCGGGGCCTGCCTTCTTCACTGATTGTGACACTCGGGGCCTGCCTTCTTCACTGATTGTGACACTCGGGGCCTGCCTTCTTCACTGTTGGACACTCGGGACGGACCTGCATTCTTCATTGATTGTGACACTCGAAAGCGAGGACCTGCCTTCTTCACTGATTGTAACACTCGGGGGCCTGCCTCTTCACTGATTGTGACACCTCGGGACCTGCCTTCTTCACTGATTGTAACACTCGGGCCTGCCTTCTTCACTGATTGTGACACTCGGACCTGCCTTCTTCTTGATTGTGACACTCGGGACCTGCCTTCTTCACTGATTGTGACACTCGGGACCTGCCTTCTTCATTGATTGTAACACTCGGGGCCTGCCTTCTTCACTGATTGTGACACTCGGGGACCTGGGCTTCGTCACTGATTGTGACACTCGGGGCCTGCCTTCTTCACTGATTGTAACACTCGGGGCCTGCCTTCTTCACTGATTTGACACTCGGACCTGCACTTCCCTTCACTGATTGTACCACACTCGGGCCTGCCTTCTTCACTGATTGTGACACTCGGGACCTGCCTTCTTCATTGATTGTGACACTCGGGACCTGCCTTCTTCACTGATTGTGACACTCGGGACCTGCCTTCTTCATTGATTGTGACCACTCGGGCCTGCCTTCTTCACTGATTGTGACACTCGGGACCTGCCTTCTTCACTGATTGTGACACTCGGGGCCTGCCTTCTTCATTGATTGTGACACTCGGGGCCTGCCTTCTTCACTGATTGTGACACTCGGGGACCTGCCTTCTTCACATGATTGTGACACTCGGGACATGCCTTCTTCATTGATTGGGACACTCGGGACCTGCCTTCTTCACTGAGTGTGACACACCGGGACCGTGCCTTCTTCATTGATTGTGACACTCGGGACCTGCCTTCTTCAACTGATTGTGACACTCGTGAGACCGGCCCTTCTTCACTGATTGTTGACACTCGGGACCTGCCTTCTTCATTGAATTGTGACACTCGGGACCATGCCTTCTTCACTGATTGGGACACTCTCGGGGGCCTGACCTTCTTCAATTGATTGTGACACTCGGGGACCTTGTGACACTCGGGGCCTGCCTTCTTCTGATTGTGACACTCGGGACCTGCCTTCTTCACTGATTGTGACACTCGGGGCCTGCCTTCTTCACTGATTGTGACACTCGGGACCTGCCTTCTTCACTGATTGTGACACTCGGGACCTGCCTTCTTCACTGATTGTGACACTCGGGACCTGCCTTCTTCATTGATTGTGACACTCGGGCCTGCCTTCTTCACTGATTGTGACACTCGGGGCCTGCCTTCTTCACTGATTGTGACACTCGGGACCTGCCTTCTTCACTGATTGTAACACTCGGGGCCTGCCTTCTTCACTGATTGTGACACTCGGGACCTGCCTTCTTCACTGATTGTGTGACATTCGGGG